CTCTCTCTCTCTGACCTTAATGCCAAAGCAACTTTTCATTCAAAATGGCCGAATCAAACAAACCCTCAGAACTTTCTCTCTCTATTCTATATGGAAGAAATGGGAGTGATGAATTGGGTGCCAAAAATGCGATCAATATACATAAAAGTCAACCGATCGATGTAAACGAGCTTGCTATCGGTCCAATGATTAGTGAAGGAGCCCATTCCATTGTCTATGAAGGATTGTGAGTGTCTATTGCACTACAAATTCATACACTTGTTCCATTTTATTGATTTTCTTCTTAGAATTTCTTCTTTTATTCTTGAATCTACATGCATGTTGATACTTCTTTGTTTTGGTTGTTTAATTTTGAGAAGGTTGCGTTCTTGTTTTCCATTTCTGGTTTGGGACTGGGGGATATGTGCGCGGGTGAAATTTAAAATAATTTAATTATGTTTCGAAATTCTAATGGCAATCTACTGTTTTTCCTTTTTTTTTTTTTTTTCCTTTGTCAAAGCGAATTTTTGTTTATATAATAAGATATGCTCCTAGATTTATATTGATTATATCCATGCCATTGTATTTTGTCTTCGTTTCAGTTGTTTTACTGAAAAGAAATTCAAGGGCTGCATCAATTACCATGCACAAGAAACTCTTTCAATATCTCTGTATGAGAATCTACTATAGGATGTGTAGAATTTTATTTTTTTTTTCCCTCAGTGCAGGATCCAGGCTGTTGAACTTAAAAATTGAGCACTGTATGATGAATTTATTATATAAATTTATGTGCCAATTTCTAATTTCCATTCTTTGAATTAATTTTGGACTGAGAAACCAAGAAGAGCAGCTTAAGCTATATGCATTCCAATGCAGTAACAAATGATGAAAGAAGAAACGCGTAAATTGTGATAAAAAACTTTTGACTGGGCGTAGAAGCTGTGGAAAAGCTTGTAACGTTCATGTAGGTTGATAACTTTTGGACCATCATGTGACTCGAATTAGATAGTCGTCATGTGGAAGACACTTGTACTAAATGACCACATTTGCCTTCGTCTTCTATTTTGTTATAATTTCCATGGATTAATTAGAAGATTTCTCGTCAGCGAGTTAAAAGATTTTTGATTTTTTAGCACAAAATCTGTTTCAGGTTAAAAGAACTAGGAAGAAAGATTTATGAAACTGAAAACAAATATCGAGCATGGTAAACAGAAAATAACTATGATATAGAGATTGGAGAAACGATTTGCTGCATTTTTTACCTTTGCTTTGCATATCACAGTGTAAGTTCTCATGCTCAACTGCCCAAAGGAAGTCCGTGGGGACGTCTGTTTCTATTAATACCGTTATTGTTTCTATCAAAATTGACAACATTCCACGAAATAAGTGATGAAATAAGTAATGGTTAGAGATTTTGCTCTCTGACAGAATTTCTGTTCTATATAGTAAGTTAGTGTGGATGCTGCTACACAAAGAAAGAAACTCATAATTATACAACAAACTTAATTCACGTGGCCTTAGAAAGTAATCTATTTTGAAGCTTTCTCTCGCCTTTTGGAAGATTGTGGAATTAATAAACTGAACCAAGGTACCTAACTGTCAATATAATATCTAAAGTATCAGGTTATTCTCATTCCCTTCACATGTGGGTGCATAGCCTTTTGTTACATTAATTCACTCACAACCAATGATTGATAAAGACGTCTGAAGTCTAACTGGGTATGAAAAGCTCCAAGAGCTCACTGAGAAGCAGTGATGGCTTACATCATTGCTAGTAGAAAAACAAATTTAATGCTATATGTAAAGGAAGATTGCTCTGGCAGCAACGATTGAAATAGCTACTATTGTTGGAGACTTCAAATTAATTTTTAGCGTAATTGTGCAACAAAAAGGTGGCATTTTTTTAGGTTTAATACTGTTTTTATGCATATTTATATGTTTTCATATTCTTATAGAAATTAATTGTTCTCAGAAGTTGAAAATTTTGTTCCTTGAATTCTGTTAACAGGTACAAGTCCACACCTGTTGCTATAAAAGTTATACAGCCAGCCAGCACATCATCTGTCACTCCTGAATGCCAAGAAAAATTTAATAGGGAAGTGTTGATGCTGTCTAAAGTTAATCATGACCACATTGTGAAGGTATTTTGTTTTCAAGTACAAGGTCTTTCATCAATTACATGGGT